GTCTCTGTTAAGTGTTAAATGACCGGTCATTTTATGATAAATAAGTATACCTTTAAAAAGGTCTGAAAAAAAGTTACCTACAGTAATTTTGATTTATTCAAGGTTTCGAATATTATCTTTATTAGCAAGAAGGTATCAACTGCTTACACCATTGAAAGAATGGTATAAAAAATTGAAATGTGCTATGTATTTCATCAATTATGATTTAAAATCGCAGATTTACGGAAGGTGCCGACTTAAATTGGTTTACAAAAACCATGGGTCGTGTAATTGGGGAAGAATGCGGAGAGATGTATGTCTCTTATATTGAGAATACACATTATTTTGTTGACTTTTTGAGGTACAGTATTCACATAGAGAGAGTCAACCCATATTCCTTCCACCTGTACTAATTTTACCTGTATTTTTTATTTTATTGTTTACTTTATTTTATACTGATATGCTTCTTCTTAACTTGCACAGAATGCTTTTCAGGCATGAAAAAAAAGTTTGTTTCTTGTGTCTCAAGCATAAAATATTTTAAATTCTTAAGAACCTGTCATGCCATTTTAATATTGTTTTGTTTGATTTGATTTTACTATGTCTTTATCAGTTAAACTTGTTTCGCTTAAAACGAGAAATGGCGTTATATACATGTACTTGTCAGACTTTTATATATATTGGCACTAGAAACAAACATTTTTTTTCCTTGGTCTGTTTTATAACTAATTGTGTGCCTTTTTGTTTAGTTTTATTTTAACATTTTAACTTACCTCCTATTTTTGTTGTAGCAATGTCTTTTACAAGAAGACTTCAACAAAATATTGACTGACCAGTTTTGCTGTGAAATTCCCTTTAATTCTAACATATTTTTTTTAATCTTCGTCATTATGACTTTAGCAATTGTGTGAGACCTTTATGAATGCAAATACATCAAACAATATTTCATAGTGACAAAAAAGATGATTATAGCTGCTTGAGTTATGTATAATATATAATATGTACATTATCTGGAAATACCAAATCAATTATTTTTGCAATGAAATATTGTAGATGCATGTAATGTATTTGCATTTGTATAATCCTTTACCAATTTTTCACAGTGTAGCAAGAAATTTATTCTGCAAGTAATGAAATAACGTTATAGAATTAAAATGTTTTTCTAGGTTTTTGATTGGTTTAACTACAAAAATATTGTCACTATGTTGGATAGTACAAAATAAACCCTGTTCTTTATGGTAATCAGGATTTATTTACATTTTTTGAAAGGTAAAAGAATAAAATTCTTGCCACATTTTCCAGTTTGGTTGATTTTTCCTTTTTTTTGTCAAGAAATTAAATTTGTATAGCTTGAGAAGTCAAAACTAGCCAATGAATTTGATGGGAGGAGCTAACACACCCTAGAAGGAGGAGCCTAACCAAATTAATCAATAACATCACAGATTTAGCACATTAGGTTAGCCAATCACAGTGCCTTTAGTGTAATTGATTTTCACCAAACTTTTATTACTACTAATTATCAAATAGGTTTGTCTCCTTGGATGATACGATGTGGTTTGATAAGACAATAAATCGAGTCGTATCCGAGGAAATGGACGAAGAGGTTTACCTCCCTTATGTGAAACCAACTTTCTACTTTACGGATTTCATGAGGTATAATTTTGAATGTGGAAAAATGTTTCTTTTGGGTGAATTTGTTTCAATTGGGTTAAAATGCAATACTTGTTGTTAGGAGGCTGGTGTTTGTCATATATATTGCTTATTTAATCTTAATGATTATTATTCAGATGGTTTGTGGCGTTATTTTTAAAAATTCATTAAAGAAATTTACATTTTATCTTAACATTTTTATAAAGTTTTAATGGATTTGGTTGGGTGTTGATTACCGGTATTTTACAACTAGATTCTAATACCAATGCCTTTTCAGGAGGACTTTGTCGAGATAATTTTGTTGTTTGAATACAACCCTGCATGCTGGTTTTTCTAAACAGTGTTTTGCATGATGTCTTATTTTATATCTTCTTGTTTTATTTTATCTTCAAAACATAATTTATAGATGTAGTCATTTTCAATATTTTCCTATTCAATAAAATCTTTTTTATGAACACTATTCTTTCATTTGTTGGAATTTATAAATTTTGATATTTATATGATATTAAGGGAAATAACAATCTAAGTGATGGAACTAAATACAATACTTGCAGCATTTATTCTTTTTATTATTAAAAAACAATAATGTCCAAATATGACATCATAATTATGTAGCCATGGCAACCAATTTTGTTACTATTTATAAACTTGAAATAATACTGTTAATGTCTCAAATTTTTCAATTAATTTTAATTAAAGAATAACAAGTGTAATGCTCAAGAAACGTAAAAAGAAAAAGCATAAAAAGAAGAAAGCAAGGTAGACTGTAATATCGTAACATGGTGTCAACCCTTATTACAGTGATGTCATATCCCACGTTTAGTCAGTCATTGTTCTCGTAGATTAAAACAAAGTGGAAAATATATCATTTTCATTGTAACTGTATTGTTTTGTATGAAGTGGTATGAAAAAAAAAATCAGTAAAGCTTTCAGTGAAATTATTTATTATAAAATGAATCACTCTTGATTGCAGACCACACAATATACTGGATATTAATTGTTTGAAAATCACTCAGTTTACAGAATAGCAGAATATTGTTTGAGGAAATAGTAAAGAAGTATCAAAATTTGAAAAAATTAAGATAATTAGTTTATAGTGATAAAGTATAGACATGATTGCTTTGGACCTTATATACCCCTAACATAAAAAATTGCTTTTAAAGAGTTAACATATGCAATATATACTAACATGCATTTTAAACACAGCTTACACGAATATAGTTTCTAACAATAATTTATTGAAATTTATTGATAAATAAATGTAAGTATATGTCAGATATTCAGATGTTTTAATGTACATTCTTATATTTGATCGATCTAGAGGCCAATGGGAAATTATTGCGGCCCTAATGAAAAAAACATTGTAAAGTATCGTTTTGTCAAAGTTTCGTGAAAATCTGTTGTCTTATGCATGACTACATTACCTGTCAAGTTTGAAATTTAAATTTATTACAGTTGTCATTAGTAAATTTGTGTACAAGAAATTTTATTTAATAAGTAAAAATAAAATGAAAAATCGGTTCTGTTAAAATATCTTAAAATCAGGGTGCTCATGTTTTAATGCTCCTTGTCCACAGTTGGTTCAACACTTACCGGTAATCAATTTTAAGCAAGATTTTATTTCATGCCATCGAAATTGTGGACAGGTGATAGTTACATCTTTTACAGGAACGTTTTTTAAAGTTTATAGCTTTATAATATTTGAACATTTGGGTTTTTTCTCCCCTTTGAGCTTGACAGGTGAGCTGAAACGATATTTCTTTGACCAATTGACTGATTACACATTATCATTTTACAGAAAAACACACTATCATTTTTGAGAAGAATTTGTGTAGTGTTTATAGGCATGAATAATAATGAATTGCTGATATTGTAACATTTTCACACTAAATTTATGTATTTGATTCAAAATTTAATAAATATTAGGTCAACTGAAATTAAGTTTTAGTGCACACTCAGTTAAATATATGTTTTTAAAAGATTTACAGTCTTTTTTTTCCCTAAAAGAAAAGGTACAAGTTTTATTTTTTTTTAGTTTTTAATGATTATAAACACTGCTAACAAACACTGTATCAATTTTGATGCATGTGACTTTTGTATTTTTCAGTTGAGCACAGAATGATAAACTGAAAAAAATATTGTGACACAATAATATGGTTTTTTTATCTTAAATAAATGCTATGAAAACTTGATGGTACAAAGTAAACAAACCTTTTAAACATTTGTATGTTTTTATTATTCAAATAAATATTAATCTACAATTTATAGTAATGTAAAAAAAACAGAATGTTACAAATACTAGTTTGAAGAAAAAGAAAAACAGGAAAACAGAAGTATTTCATATTAAACTTGATTTTTTTACACATTACCCAAATGATATTTTCATAATTTTCTTCATTATCGTTAATGCTTTTTAAAAAAACAAACTCTTATTTATATTACAATATATCAACATTATAATTGTTGCCATGGTTACAGAGATGCCCCTGAAGCAACTGGTGATGAGCCAGAAGATGCTGACTTTGACATGCCAAAGATTTATGAACCTGTAAGTATTTTTACAGCTTCTTTCATATGAATTGTTGGTTTGGCAATTAAAGAATAGTTGGGCGACCATACTAGTGACCTTGACCTTAGACATTGGCTCAACACTAAATGAAGGATTTGCATGTAACTACATATTTCATTAACCACTGCAGGTACATGTATTCACTTAAATGTCAGACATGTCTTCAAAGTCATTATTGTAGGGTATATAGTAGTAATATCTGTCATAAGTTGCAGTTCAGTTGGAATATCAGTCCCGAGGGGACCTGCCCATGGGAATTACCCAAGGGATGGATATTCCGATCCAAACCGCAAACATATGTCAGATATTTTTTCTTGCATATTTTACCAAATTCCATTATATTTTAAACTATACCTTAATCAAACAAACTTCCATGGAAATTTATGTCATTACACAGGTAACTTTTTTCTTACAACAGCATGTGAAGTTACAACTTCATTCATAACGGTAAAAATACGTCATCCTAAGCGTGATATTGTACAGCACTCGACTCGTCTGGCATCTCCCATGCCAGATGAAAGTTACTGGCATTAGTGAAACTAACGGAAACACTTGTCTGTTATGTAAGAATGATCAATGCAGACTATGATCAGATACCACAAATCTTTTTTATATGCCCGAAAGAAAATAGGATGATTGTCCATATTGGGTAGTAGACCCCTATTGATTTTGGGGTCACAAGGTCAAAGTCACTATAAACTTAAAACTGAAAACAGTTTTCGGAGCATAACTTAAGTTCCATTTGGCCCGCAGAGTTCAAACTTCATAGGATGATTGTCCATATTGGGTAGTAGACCCCTATTGATTTTGGGTCAAAGGTCAAGGTCACTATTTCCTTAAAACTGAAAACAGTTTCGGAGCATAACTTAAGTTCCATTTGGCCCACAGTGTTCAAACTTCATAGGATGATTGTCCATATTGGGCAGAAGACCCCTTTTGATTTTGAGGTCTAATGTCAAGGTCACTATTACTTTCAAACTGAAACAGTTTCCAGAAATAACTTACGTTTCATTTGGCCCACAGTGTTCAAACTTCATAGGATGGTTGTCCATATTAGGTAGAACACCCCTATTGATTTTGGGGTCAAAGGTCAAGGTCACTAGTACCTTAAAATTTAAAACAGTTTCCGGAGCATAACTTATGTTCCTTTGGCCCACAATATTCAAACTTCATAGGAGGATTGCTATTTGAAGGAGGTAATACTTTATTTAATTCCCATGTCTTAAAATTGCTTCATCCTTACTAAAAAAATTACACACATTCGGGCATATAATGCTCCACCTAGCGGTGCTCTTGTTTTGTTATATATGTTTGTAAATATTTTAAATATTTTCTTACAGGTACCATCGTTTGAGGTTCTGGAAGAGAGGTTACATATGTTCCTGCAGCAGTACAATGAAAGTATACGAGGTTCTGGAATGGATCTTGTATTCTTCAAGGATGCTATGACCCATCTTGTGAAGATTTCACGTATCATACGTACACCTAGAGGCCACGCCCTCCTGGTTGGTGTGGGAGGTTCCGGTAAACAGTCGCTGACCAAGCTTGCCTCGTTCATTGCTGGCTACAAAACATTCCAGATTACTTTGACCAGGTACATAATTCTTGCATGGAAAAAAATAAACTTTTTCTTATTTATTAATTTTGAACCATAAATTGATAATATGCATTCTACTTTATTGACCATGTTCATGGGGAAAAAAACAACATATTAACACAGTTACAATTTTTCTAAAATTCATCACTTTGTTTGCTTCTTTGATATTGTTAAAGGTCTTATCTTAGAAAATGTATTAGTAACCTTACATTAAATGTTCGGATGTTTTTTTTTAAGTATGCACAAAATATAAAAGTAAAGTATGATTAAAAGTAGAAAATTCATTGCTTTATACTGTTAAAGGTCTTATCTTAGAAAATGTATTAGTAACCTTACATTAAATGTTCGGATGTTTTTTTATAAGTATGCACAAAATATAAAAGTAAAGTATGATTAAAAGTTTGATGATATATTCTAATGAAGGATATTTGTTACACCATCATCATTTTATATAAAAAAGTGACAGGAATTCGTGAGTTATATTCTCCCATTTTGTTGTAATGCAGTGTTTTACCATGATATTTTTCATTTTTATATTTTCATTTTATATATATGAATATAAAGATTTCTCATAGCATGTTGTTACAAGGTCAAAGGTCACTTACTTTCTACCCACTTGACCTTAAGTGAGAAGTCTTTCTTCACCTTGAAAAAAAAGTTGACCTTTGCTTTCAAGTTAAGTCAAAACTGTTAAAAAAAAATTTTTAATTAACTGACATTAGGGGAATAATGGTATTACGTAATTGTTTTTTTGGGGGCTTGTTTTACAGTCTTGTTGTATCACTCATCAGTAAATGATTGGTTTTATATTAATTTTTTTATTGAATTTTAAAGTGACAAATTTAAAACGTTGTTTTCTGTTTAATTATTTTACAGATATTAAAAGAATTTCAAATTCTAAAATATCTGCACTGCATGAGAATTAATTTTTTTATGTTAAATGGCTGTGGTAACTACTGGAAATGATTATTTTTTAAATATATTTTGCCCATTAACCATTGTGAAGAAATTCTTAGCAATGATTTAAAGCAACAAATGTATTATCTCCCTTAGTCTGGGACAGCCGTGAGTCATTTAATGTTGTTATTTTACCAGTCCATGTTGAATATTGTATAATACATCATCACATATTGCAAAAATAAAACATGTACAAATACATTTTGTACATAACACTAGCACATCTGTATATCACAAAGTATTGAAATAGTTTTAAGGCCTATTAACAATGTTCATTCGCGCTTGATATTCAAACAACAAAGATATAAGGAGAGGACTACCATAAGCTTATAGCTCTTAGTCCAAGTCCTTTCTGCTTTTAACGTATTTATTATCTACATGTATATATCTTAAATAAAAATATGTTTTAACCAAAGATATAAATCCAAATAAAGCAAGCAAAGTTTTCTGTGCCAGCACTTTGGTCCTGTGGTAGCAATGTCCAGTGGTAATAACACTTGAAATGATTTAAGGAAATCACAGATATCATCCACGGCTTCACTTACATGAAGTTATTAAGGATGTCAGATTATAGACAAAGATCATGTGAAGATTCTTTATATATTACATAATATTAAAACTTAAACTACCATCTACAATGATGGAATTGGAAAAAAAAATGTATTTTTGCATTATATTAAAAAATCATAAAATGCCACAATTTTTTTTTTAAATGTAACATAAATTGTCACTCATAATGGAGAATGTCTGACAGTTAGTTATATGTTCACAAACACATAAACATGCACCATTGTCTTATGTTCAATGTCAGAAAATTAATGTCTTTGGTTTAGAATCTTCAATATTCATGAGTTAAACCATACTGATGATTGAACTTAGATTTGGTGTAAGTTGTATATCTCGATACATCTTAATATAGTAAATTAAAAATATATGAACTACATAATTATACATGTATGAGATTTCAAGTCAAACCTAAATTACAAAACATGTAATAGCCAATGTTTATCTAAATAAAATCATCTGAATTCATAAATATTTTTATGTGATTGTCTTATCATTGTTTATCATTCTAGCGTTAAAACTCTTGAAAAACAATACATTTATTACTGCTGTTTTTCTCTAAGATGTACTTTTTATCATCTAAGTTTTCATCATGTTTACATATTTTATCAGATTTTATGAGTCACTTTTTGTATTTATGTGTAATAGTTTGAAGTTTTAGCACTCATTCTTATAGAAAGATGTTTTTCCTTTCATAAGTGGCATCAACAAAAGGACATGATAGGGAGCTTGTTTTTCAATACAATAGCAGTGAAAGCTTTTGAAATATTGTGGGGAACAATAATTATTGTCTCTTGATACTAAGCTATTGCTCAGTACATGTACTCAGACCATTTCTTTTTACTGAATCATTTCTTTTTACTGAATCATTTGCAGTTTCTTTACTCATTCCATATCTGCATTGCATTGATTAATATCTTGGATAATATAATCTAATGCTGCAAGACCAAAGAAAAATTCCGTCAGTCATCTTTTATCATGATATGCTATGATTATAGGTCATACAATGTGTCGAACTTGCTGGAAGATTTGAAATTCTTGTACAGAACTTCTGGACAACAAGGAAAGGGAATCACATTTATCTTCACAGATCAGGAAATTAAAGACGAAGGCTTCCTGGAATATCTGAACAACGTCCTCTCATCTGGTGTTGTAAGTACTCAACAATAATGCCCATTGTTATGTTATACAATCCAACAAAGATATAAAAATAACCCCTGAATTACATGTTATAACAATTCTGTTAGGTCTTCAGGACAGTGTAGTAGAACAAGGGAATGGTTTAATGAAGCATTGGCACATTACACACCTTATTTATAGAACATGTTACAAGTGTGTGTAATTATTTGTCTCTTGTGTGTAAAAAATCCTTTACTACTCTTAAATATTTTATTTGAGACAAACATACAAACTTATTTGAAAATCATCTAGATAGAGATTGTATTACAATTGTAGGTAGCCAACTTGTTTGCTAGAGATGAAATGGACGAAATTCTTGGTGAGTTGATCCCAGTGATGAAGAAAGAGTTTCCACGACGACCACCATCCAATGAAAACCTGTATGAATATTACCTGTCACGTGTCAGGAATAATCTCCATGTAGTGCTATGTTTCTCTCCAGTAAGTTTTTCTCAAAATTGTGAAAAAAGTATTACAACGTCAAAAGGCTAATATTTTTAAATTAATTTTAAGATTACAAGAAACTTTGTACAATGAATTACTACTTCAGTGTTGATATTAAATTTGTTAGACAAGTATAAAGACCTATTTGAATTAAGATAACAAAGCAGTATCAAATGGAAATTATATTTAAATTTGATTTCTGTGATTTTGGTCACTGTATTACACTATGCTTCGTAAAGCAGTTTTTGATGTCCTCTTACTCAATTGCAAAATTTGATTGCCTGCTACAAGAAAAGCTGCATAATTAAACTGGAAAATAAAACATTTTACTATTGTGTTATATAGGTTGGTGAGAAGTTCCGTGCACGTTCCCTCAAGTTTCCAGGTCTGATTTCTGGATGTACAATGGACTGGTTCCAGAGATGGCCAAGAGATGCCTTGATCGCTGTAGCAGACCACTTCCTGTCACAGTTTAACATAGACTGTACACCTGAAGTAAAGAAACAAGTGATCCAGACAATGGGATTGGTGCATGATGGGGTAGCAGAATCTTGTACTGACTATTTCCAGAGGTAATATCACTAAAAATATTTATATGTTTAAATTTACAGTTACTTGAATTATTGAAAATGGTTATATATATTCGTAAATGCTTAGCTGTTTAAGTTGAATGTCCCAAAGGGCTGCATAGAAGAGAACTCAAGTTGTGAAAAAAATGAATTTTTAAAAATTCAAGAACTTTTTATAATCTTCTTTCAGGTATCGTCGTGCAACACATGTGACGCCAAAATCTTACCTGTCATTTATCAATGGTTACAAGACAATTTACACAGACAAGAGGAATGAGATCGGTGAACTTGCTAGCAGAATGAACACAGGTAACGTTTGTAATGAAAATCATCTGACGTAATTAAAATATTTGTTTCAACAGTGTTCGTCATAATTATCTGAATAAACATATTGGTTGTACTTATTTTGGCTGAAAATATATCATTAGTTTTTATGTGATTGTTTTAAATACATCATTATTTTGACAAAAAATATAGATATGACCATAAAAAGCAATGAATTTGGCAATGTTTTTTTTTAAATAGTAATAAAAATGGAGGAATTATCTTGATTTTAGAATCATTTCTGTTTAATTAGATTTTGCAAAGCTTTTGTGACACTTTTTTGTGATTTTACAAAAATAAGTTATCAATTGTATCACTGGTCATCTTCACACAATTATACATATACTTGTTTTTGGAGAGTGGAAGCTTTTAGAAATGAAATAAGAAATTTGTTTCTATTAAAGTTATGATATATATCAAGCATAAGAATGTATTGTCATGATTGTAAGATATAAATCTGATGTATACAATAAACTTGGTACATTAATTTAGTTTTTATAATATTACTATAAAGGTTTGAAGAAGCTGATTGAAGCATCAGAAGCTGTAGCCGTACTAGAGAAAGAGCTGGCTGTTAAGGAGAAGGAACTTGAAGTAGCCTCCAAAAAAGCTGATGAAGTATTGAAGGAGGTCACAACAAAAGCTCAAGCTGCATCAAAGGTCAAAGAGCAAGTTCAAAAGGTCAAGGACAAAGCTCAGGCTATTGTAGATGCCATTGAGAAGGACAAAAATATTGCAGAAGCGAAATTGGAAAAAGCTCGTCCTGCTCTTGAAGCAGCAGAAGCTGCTCTGAACACTATTAAACCAGCTGATATAGCTACTGTGAGAAAGCTGGGAAAACCACCTCATCTTATTATGAGAATTATGGACGCTGTGTTATTGTTGTTCCAGCATAGACTGGAATCAGTTCAACCTGATCCAGAGAGACCATGTGTGAAACCATCCTGGTCTGATTCATTGAAGGTTGGTGTTTACTTCTAAAACATTGTTTAAATTAAGGCTCAGTTTATAGTAAGTGGGTACATGACATAATGTGTGTTTAGTCAAAGAAACAATCCGAAATATTTTTGACTGTCTATTATTGTCAAATATGCTTAATATGCAAAATATTTTAAATGGGAGTTGTTGATCTTTCAATTCAGCCAAAACCAGCCATCATTTTAATGGAAAAATTTCAAACTACATGTATGTACCAACTGAATGGCAAACAGTGCAGACCATGATCAGACAGCATATATATGCTTGCTGATCTTTGGATGCACAAATCAAATGGTAGAAACATTTGTCACAAGCAGGCTAAGGTTTGATACATATTACACAGAAAACCACTTTTGCAACAGAAAAAGCCACATTGTACTCAATTATATCTTTATCATCATTAATCTTATTTTATCACCTGTACAGATGATGTCAGGAACTAACTTCCTGGCACAGTTAGTGCAGTTCCCGAAGGACACAATCAACGACGAGACTGTTGAGTTGATGATGCCGTACCTGGAAATGGAGGACTATAACCTGGAGAATGCCAAGCGTGTGTGTGGTAACGTTGCTGGTTTACTGTCCTGGACAGAAGCTATGGCTGCTTTCTTCTCTATCAACAAGGAAGTCTTGCCATTAAAGGTACCTGATGTCTTTCTCCACTAGTAAAGCTGGAAAGTGGTTATATAACATAGACTGAGTGTTGGTGTGACGTAAAAGCCATTTAAAAAAAAAGGCTTTCTATTTACTATTTAGCTTTCTTACTTTTTTAAGGATGATTAGGGTGTAATTACTTAGTTATTCTTCATGGTTAATAAATTACAGAGCTAGTATGATTGTCTTTTACAGTAGACCTATGTGTAGATATACACAAGAATGAGTTGGCACAGAATCATAGGTTTCACATTTGTGAAAAATTTTGACATAAAAACTTAATTGTTACAAATTTCTTGTTTAAAAAATTTAATATTGTATTTATATTTTTTCATTTTAGGCTAACTTGGCAGTACAGGAGGCTAGGTTACAGGTTGCCATGGGAGATTTGGCTACTGCCCAGGCTCAGCTAGATGAGAAAGAGAGAGAATTAGCAGTGGTACAGGCTGAATATGACAAGGCTATGTCTGAGAAACAGGTACAGTTTTATAGTTTTTTATTGTCCAATTACATGTATATAGAATATTTCTACATGTATACTTGAAAACAGGACTGTATACTTGTTTTTAAAGACTGCATTTCTTACTGATTAATACTGATGTATGTTTGTATTAATTTGGTGTTAGGTTGGTATCTAACATCTCAAGGAATTCAATTCATTCAATTTGAAGTGCAATAATAGATAGGACAAAGGTCACAAGAAAGGAATCACAATGAGAGATATAGAATATATATCCCACTGATAGAAAATATTAAAAGTTTTGCTGTTATTAAGAAATTTTTGATTTTTTAAAACCCAATGATGAAAAATTTAAGGGATTTTTTATTTTTTAGTAAAATCATAATAAAAAGATACTGTTTTACTTATTTTCCAAGAACATTTTATTAATTTTTACTTTTAAAAAAATATAGGTTTTCCAGAGTGTCTGTTTCATTACTGTACATTATATAGTTCTACGAAAATCTTTTTTTACTTATTTAAACCCCAAACCCCTAAAAAAAACCCAAAAATACAACCCCCCATCGTCCCGGGTACCAGGGTACAGCCAAATTAAAAATTTATTTTTAAAGTTTTCGTTAAAAAACCATTAGTATTCGGGCGATGACAACCCCCAATAATTTGTTTTTTTTAAAAGAAGTTTTATTTTAGGGGAAAAAATTGTATGGAAAATTTCCCGGGAATTTGAAAAAATTTTTAGGAGAAAGGGAAAAAAAAAACGCTTTCAGCTTTCCCTATTAAAAGGTCTGGAGGTGGAAATCAGTGGACTAACAAAATTTAGGGGTTCAAAGCCCAATTGGGGAAAGGGAGGTAATTTGCCCTGTTTTAAACTTTTATTTTTGTGTTTAAATTTTAGGGTTTAAGGGGCAATTTTTAAAAGTAGAAAAAAAATTTAAATTTAAAAAGAGTTTTTATTTGTTTTAAAGGGAAACCATTCAGCAAGGTTTTTTAAAAAAGGTTAAATTTATCTTGGAAAAAATTTAACAGATCAATCCCGATACATGTCTGTTCTTTCAATAATATTTCAAGGTAGGTCAACCCCCGGGAATTTAAACCGTTTCCTGGGAAAAATGTATGTAAACCCAGTGGTCTGAAGGTCCCTTATTTGTATAGATGGAAGGAAAGTCACTATACGATATATATAAATAGACATTGTGACTGATAACACAAACAAAGAAATGTTATATTATTCTCAAATAAAGTATGGAATAAAGTAAGTTGAAGTTTCCTTATATATCTAATTGCTGATAAATCTGATATGGATCTCACTAAAATAACTACCTAAATTGGTTGATAATTATTTTTATTTAACTAAATTAAAATGTGTGGGTTTTTTTTTTAAATTAATTTCTTAAATCCATTTCTCTCTGAATTCAGAAATAGTGCTTTTGAAAGGTAAAACACTGAAAAAAAATGTTCCTGAAGGAGTTAAAATGTGATAACTTTTGTTGTATTCAAAGTATTCCATCACATACCCATTCTTTTCCTTTGTAACAATTCATTGGTAAAATTTTCCCATTCTTTTTTATATATTTAAAAAAAAAATGAATATAATTTCACATATTTAAAATAAAAATGCCTTTGTTATATCACATGAACAAATTGTTGTCACACCAGAAATGAGAGTAACAAGAAATGTGAGCAGGGCCTTGAATCTTACACGGCTTTTGATAGGTATCATAACTCACTGTACTGTGACCAGTATTGTCTCGACAGATTTTATATATATCTGTTTAGATTTGTGTCCCACCAATGTGTACAATAATTGAAACTTTTTAGTATAATGATTAGAAACTTGATTAGTATAATTTTTTATCAGAATTATTCATATTTTACTAGGTAAGTCACATAGCTCTTTTTTTTCCAAATCATGATTGTGTAAACATTACGAATGTTAAAAAAATTCTGAAATAAATTTTATGGTTGGACACAGAATTTGAAGTTGAATTTTAACAATTTCTGAAAATATGCCTATGCTTGCTTTATTTTCAGATTTTGTTCAAATTTACCTGCAAATTGTTACAAATTTTGTTATTTATTGTATCTATATTGTTTTAGTACTGTAAGTAAAGCCACTGTATTTGTTATTCTGGAAAAGAAATTAAATTTTTCCATTGATAAATATGAATTGTTACCATCTTAAATAATATTAAAGTTGTCCACCTGGTGTTTTTTTTGTAAAATTAGATACCTTATTGAAACATAATAAATAATATGATTAGTATTTATTCTTCATAAATTTTAAAAAGGTATTTTAATGTTGCCCATTTCCCCAAATATACCATTTTTTTTTTTAATTGGGGAAGTAAGAAATCTTCTGCTGCTTTTAAAAAAAAAATTTATGGTAAAACTTGTATAATATTTTCTATTGCCTAAAAAAGATAGGGAAATTAATTTTTAAAATTTTTATTAAA